GGAGGCCACGAGGAGTCGGCCGGTCGGTCAACCGGCCGGGATTCCATCGACCATTGTAAGGGAAGGCAGGCACCAAGGGAGGAAGCCCAGCTGGGAATGGCGGTTTGGTGGGGGCCTCGCACTCGCACGTGCCGGCGACACGGCCTTCTAAATTCCCTGGGCGTCACTGTTTGGTGCAACCTTTTTTTCCTTTCTTTTCCGTTCTATTACGCGACAGTGCACCTGCCCCTTTGTTTTCAGTCTACAGCGTAATTCGTTTCAACGCCGCACCGACCGAGCTACCCAAGTCATGTTGTCGTCGACACCGGCTACAAAATTTGTCAAGAGTTTTAGCTTTTAAGTCGTGCTCGTGTACGGTTCAAATAATGGCCTTCCATGCGGAACACTTGAATGAAGTGTTGCAGAACATTGCTTCAAAACAAAATGCATGGCAATATATATGCGGACGACCAAGAGACCAAGGAAGAATACCCTGCCATGGCGTAGGACTAGAAGGAAGCTTGGTCGTTTTCTTCATCTTCACTATTAAGCTGAACCTCGACCTGTCTGCACCAAGCTTGACTATCTTCACCTTCATGGCTAGAGAGGATGGGCAAGAAAGAACCTCCCGATCCGAAAAAAACGGTTCGGAGATCTCGCGCACATCCCCAGCTACCACAGTCCGTCGGCGGCCTCCAAGAGGCTGGATCTCGGGGATGGCTATGTCCAGGGCGGAGAGAGATGGCTGGAGGCGGCAGGTGGTGCTCGGAGGGTGGCATGAGAGCAGAGGGCGCGGTCGTGGCCACGACGTCGTCACGCGCATCCATGCGCCGGCACAGGGTGAGACATCCCTCGTCGGTCCTGGCCGCGGCGCTGGCCAAGGCGCCTCCTCCTTCTCACACCCGTACTCGCTCATGCAGCCAGCGGCGGCCGGTGGCATCGGCGCGGCTGCCCGTAACTGCAGTGGTGAGCGCTGCCAGGAGTGTGTGTGCAACCACGGAGATCCTAATGCCGCACGTCTCAGCACTTTCTCGTACGTGGCCGCGGAGATCACAACGAGAAACTGCAACGCCGATGATCTGGATGCGGCCTTCGAGTCAGATATGAAGCCAGCGCCGGCATGCGACTACGCCGGTGCTGCCGACAATGGCACAACTATGGTGAAGGATGGGTCAGCCTCGAGTGAGGTGGCCATGGAACAATGCACGGGCGTCTATGATCGCAGTACCAGAGGCGACCATGGACGAGGCAGATTTGGACGATGCTGCTTCGTTGTCGTGCGCCAATACGTCGGTGTCGGCGTCTCGGTGTGCGAGAGAGGTGAAGATGATGGTGCCAGCGTTCGCAAAGACAACGACACGCACAACATCGCCGGCAATGGATGCATGGGTAGTCATGGCGGCGGGGGCGATGGCCTCCGTTGGTCATTGCGGTGGGGGTGGCGGCCCTCGATAACCGCGATAAGGAGATCAGGTGGCACAACAGTGCATATTCAAGTGCGCCGGCATATTTGCAGGCATAGCAGCGGTGGTCGTGTGCGGCACTCGATGCCGGCTCAAAGAGGATTTTCGTCCGGTGCGAGGGTGGCGGCCATCGCACAAGGATGCTCGAGGCGCGAGCGACGGAGTCCTACGCTGGTGAGCAAGGGGCGCAGTGGTGGTTCCCCGTCGACTTCTAGCTCTGGAGCAGCAGCTCCTACGGTATGAAGCATGCTGCAGTGTGACTGGCGCCGGTGTGGAGTAGCAGCAGCTAGTTCCGCACCGAGACATGGGCGCCCACTCGACGGCCGTGAAGGTGGGCGTGGAGTACTGACGAAGGCGACTATATAATGATCTATTATCAAGATGCTGATTGGAACACCGCTTCATGTCCGGGGTGAAACTTCTTGTCCTGACCATTATTGGTCGGGCTCAGCAACGACGAGGGTATATCTTCTTGAAGGCGTTGCTACGGAAGAAGTCAACTTAGTCGTAGGTGTTAATTTCATATCTTGTGATGGTTCGGCTATGATTGCCTTCGTTTTGTGCTCTCCTGAATAATTAATAAAAATGGTTGTATGCATCGCATTGATGCAGAGGCCGGGAGTTTTAACCTCCTTTTCAAAAAAATGTGCCTATCTTTTTTATAAGATGACGTTTTTATAAACTCAAAATGTAGCATCAGGCGGATACGGTGGGATACAAAACGTGATGAGCAACACCGGGCCTCTGCATAGCTATGATGCACATAGCCAAAATCAACGGTCTGAATATATGTGCGCCGAGATATATTTTGTATTCAAAACAAATAAACAACTACAAATATCCCACAAAACAACCCATCGTCAAAGTAACCACGTTAGCGAGTAGGCGAGATAAAATGTTGATAGGTTTTCCACACCAGCATCATGAGGACCCTAATTTCCCACCACTTGTCAAAGTAAGACCATGTGTTGCTCATCATGACTTCTTCAATTCAAAATTTAGGTTTTTATAATCTTTAACTTTTCATTTAGAATAAGTGGAAGATGGTATCAGGAGAGTCTAATTTTATGTTGGTTTCCTTAGGCTTGCCCACTCTTCCGAATCAAATTTACCTATATTCGATATGAACAAACTTGAGCTAAAGTTGTGGAGTTCAACGATTGGGCCTCGCTTAAGTTGCAATGCTTGTGTGAGTGAAGTTGTGGTCATGCCCCCCCCCCCCACCCACCAGTACGTGTTCGAGGACTGGTTATTGCAATTCTTTATATTTAAGGAGGAAAACATGCTCTCCCTCTTTGGTCAGGTCATCCCACTTATGAAATACGTTACTGAACTTTATAAAAAATATTTTGGACATGGTGATGGAGCTAATATAAATTTAGCGGATTGGGATATTCCTAAAATTACTAGAGAAGATGTTGAGCTGCTTGTTTAACCTCTTTCCATGGAAAACTTGAAAACTTTGTCCGGGACATGATGGTTTACCTACTGATTTTTTTCTAGTATTTTTGGGCGCTGGCTAAATGAAATCTCAAGGATTTATTTGATGATATCCATAAGGGTGTGTTGGATACTACTAAATTGACTTATGACATTATGACTTTGGTTCCTAAAATCAAAGATGCAAAACAAATCCAAAAGATTAGACATATATGTTTTCTGAATGTGAGTTTCAAAATAATTACTGAAGTTCTTACGAAAGGTCAAGCTTGTTGGTAAACCCTATTACTTCACACACTCAAACTGTCTTTGTCAAAGGTGGATACATAATGGAAGGTGTTGTGATTTTGCATGAAGCCTTAAACACTATTTATCATTAAAAAATAGTGCCCTTTTGTTAAGGTTGATTTGAAAAAGCATATGGCAAAATTGAATGACCCTTTGTACACCTACTGTTAAAAGTAAAGGGGTTCCCTAATAAATTGTGTGACTAGATTTTGTTTACAATGGGAGGGGGGCATGCGGGAAACAAAGTGAATATGAGATAGGGCCAAACTTCACAACTTGTATAGAACTCAGACAAGGGGATTCTCTTTCCCTACTTCTCTTCGATTTAGCTTTTGATGTTCTTGCCATTTTTATGGAAATGCTAGACAAAATGGAGTAGTTAAAGGTGTGCTTAATGGGGCTCTAGACCATGGAGTTAATATGCTTAAATATGCTAATGGTAAAATTTTATCGCTACAAGATGATGCTGAAAATGCAAAATAAAATTCATTCTTTGTGCTTTTGAACAGATGATGTATGGGCTTACTATTAATTTTCACAAGAGTGAGTTATGCCTGTTTGGGGATAATGTGGATAAAACTGATTTATACCAGGGAAATTATACTTGAAAATTGGGAGTTTTACCTTTGAAGTACCTAGGAATTCATGTTTCCAGTGTTAGAATTAGGAACGTACACTAAACTGTGTGGTGGATAAGATATAAAATAGATGTCGATGTTGGCATGGAAAATGCTTAACATTGCAGGCAGGCTGAGTTTGGTGCAATATTGTCTAAGCAATCTACCTTTATAAATGATGTCTTTCTATCTCATCCAAATTGAGGTGAAGAAGAGAGTCAGTTTATTCATGACTTGGCTTGTTTGTCAAGGTGATAACAACAAGAAAAAATACCACTGGTGAACTGGAATACTTGGTGTAGACCTAATCATCAAGGGGGTTTGGTGATATTAAACCTTGAGATCATGAACAAATCTTTGTTGGCTAATTGGTTGTTGAAATTAGAAACTAAAAGTAAGCTCTGACAAATGATCCTCCTGAACAAAATTATTCATAATGGTTGCCTCTTCGATACTAAATATGATACTAGTGACTGGCATTTCTGGTCCAGTATCATAGAAGTCAAACACATATTTATCAAGAATGCAAAAAATGGTGGGCGATGTCCAGATAGTAGATTTTGGGAACATTGGTGGGTTGATGACAAACCTCTTAGAATTTCATATGCTAGACTGCAAAATTTGAGTTTTGATCATAATAGCACTATGGCTGATGCCTTCCAAAATGGATAAGAGGGGTTTATATTAGAAGAACTCTCTGGGAGATACTCTATCTCTTTGGTATAGCCTCAAAATGTGGTGTGAGGAAATTACG